ATTTCACAAAGAAAGTTCATTAGTGAACCAATGTGACCTTATGGTAAATTCTGGCATCACAGTACTTAAAGTTGCATTCACAACAATGGCATTCCATGCATTATAAATACCACTGTATCAGGAGCAATTTAAAATACTAAGAAAGTTCAAACCTATTAAAAAATATTAATCGAGAGATAATTTCTACCCTTTTTGTATTTGCAGCCAAAAGTGCCACATATTAATAGGTTGTTTCAACGGTGCATCCCCATTTATTCGGCAATAATTATTCTCTTCCAATGTATGTTCTGCGTAAAGGTATTTTTCAACGTAATATATTTTCTCTTTAAATGTGAAATCTATCACATGCAGTAACTATGTGTACCATTCTTCACGTACAATGGGGAGAACGTCTTGAATAGGCCGTTTATAACTGTGCATGGGAATACATTAGGCCTCTTAAAAGTATTTTTAATGACAATAATAATATATATGCAGATGATAGCCAGAAGCAGACATGTGTACATGTAAGTTTAGCTCAATTTGATTATTCCCATCCAATGTAGGTACCCACTTAATTAATATGAATGAGTTGCTTTAACCCTGTCTCTTGGCTGATGCCCCTTTTTGGTCCATAGCTCAGATGCTGAATATCATGTGAATCCCCAAGCCATGTACAACTATAACTCATATGGAGCATTACAATTAATGTAATAATTTAAACATGATTGAAAGCACCTTTACGAACAAACAGGCGAGGGACAATTCTTACTTATTGTTACTTTTATATGGGAGATTGGTGAAACATATATTTTAAAATATCACAGTTTAAAAATGACCGAACAAGCATTCAGCAGTACTCATAACTCTAAGTAGTCCTAAGCCAGAGGTGCAAATTTTATACCACAAAACCTTTGGATTGTGAGTGAAGCGCAGAGTTGTACTCAGGCAGAATGGACAAAATATTATGAGAAAATTTCACCACATATAGCATTAATACTGTCTTACAACGGGCAAATTTGTAAAATTATTAATATATTTTTGTGGGTTAGATCATTCTTAATGATGTTGTTTACCCTCCTTAACGTGACAGCAAAATACATCAAATTATCACGTGGATAATAACTGTACCAATTTATATTGTTTCAGCAACCTGGTATGTTGAAAACCCATTCACACCAAAATTATCAGACTATTAGATACTGGTGTGAATTAGCTTTCAACAAACTGGTTTTCTGAAAATAATATTAAACTGGCATGCTTTTAAATTTCGATTTAAAGCTTTCGTGACTGCAAGGATTCATCTTCTTTGGTTCTTTCGGTAAAGTCACGTAGAATGAGAATAAAATAATAAATTGATAAAATAACACAATAATATTCTCACGACGTTTCGGCCACAACACAAGGACGAGACTGTCTGGAGGACAGGACAGTCTCGTCCCCTTCACCTGATGAAGGCCGCTTATGTTGTGGCCGAAACGTCGTGAGAATATTATTGTGTTATTTTATTTGATCAATTTATTATTTTATTCTCATTCTACGTGACTTTACCGAAAGAACCAAAGAAGATGGCATGCTTTTGTTTAAGTTTCAACTTGAATTGTTTGTCTGTGTTAGGTGGAAGGTATGCAACACTATTTAGCATTATATTTATGCAATCTAACCCAAAAATCATTTAGGAATCATCATATTGGTCGCGAAAGCCTACCTGTTAATTACATTTGTAGCACTATATTTTGGCAATGGCCCATTTTCAGACTAAGACTGTGTTTGATTTGAAGCTTTCATACTGCAGGAATTACTCTTTGGTTCTTTCGGTAAAGTCACGTAGAAAGAAAATAAATTAAATAATAGAATACGACGTTTCGATTGCAACACAAGCAACCGTCATCAGGTAGAACTCATTTTGAGAGAGAGACAAACACAGACACGGAGACACACAGACACACAAGCAGAGAGAGACAAAACAGAGACGCACAGAGAGAGACACACAACATAGACACACAGAGACCCAATGCCTCTGTGTCGAGGCCTTAAATAGAGAGAGAGGGGGGAGCGGTGAGCAGAGAGAGAGGTGGGTCTGCTGGGGCAGCTGCTGGAGCAGAGAAATTCGCATGTCAATGAATCCACCCCGAAGCGACCGAGGGAGAGAAAGATCGAATGGACCTATGACAGCCTGGTAAATTTTAGAGAGATAAATAGGCCGTTTTAGAAAACTAACTTAGAAAAAAATTGGAAATGTAATGCAACACAGAGAGTCGGCTAACACACAGTTAACGCATAGCCTGGTTGATTACGATCTCCAAAGATCGCTAAATTTGAAGTTGTGTGAAATTTGACAAACAGAGACACAGAGAGAGAGAAAACAAACTTACATCCTCAAACACACAGAGAGAGGATGTAAGTTTGTTTTCTCTCTCTGTGTGTGCATTGCATTAAATTTCCCAAAAAATCGCTTTATTTAGTTTTCTCAAACTGCCTATTTAGCTCTCTAAAATGTACCAGGCTCTCATAGGTCCATTCGATCTTTCTCTCCCTCGGTCGCTTCGGGATGGATTCATTGACATGCTAATTTCTCTGCTCCAGCAGCTGCCCCAGCAGACCCACCTCTCTCTCTGCCCCCCCCCCCCCTCTCTATCTCTCTATTTAAGGCAGGGGTGGGGAACCTTTTTTCTGCCAAGGGCCATTTGGATATTGAAACATCATTCGTGGGCCATACAAAATTATCAACTTAAAAATTAGCCTGTTATATTTGGTCAAACATTTCATTAACTCACCCCTAATGTGATGGCTGGAACTGCTTCTCTTTGGCGAGGCGTGTGATGTTAGCCGGTATTGATGATGTTGTTGCTACTCGCAACTGCTTTTCCAGGTTTTGCTCCTAGATTTATTAAATTTCGAGTCCCGCCTGCGGTTGCCTTGGCAGGGCCACACCAAATTATTTCGCGGGCCGGACGTTCCCCACCCCTGATTTAAGGCCTCGACACAGAGGTATTTGGTCTCTGTGTGTCTATGTTGTGTGTCTATGTTGTGTGTCTATGTTGTCTCTCTGCTTGTGTGTCTGTCTGTGTGTGTCTGTGTTTTGTCTCTCTCTCAAATTTAGTTCTACCTGATGACGGTTGCTAGTGTTGCAATCGAAACGTCGTATGCTATTATTTAATGTATTTTCTTTCTACGTGAATTGACCGAAAGAACCAAAGAGTAAGACTGTGTTTATGACAAACATGGTGAGTTTTTTTTTCTATTTGTGCTTGTACACCACTACCATTGAATAAGTCTACATCGACAGCCCTTTCGTCTCTCACTACTATGTGGAGGGCCTCACAAAACCGTGCGGGTCGTGGGGTTATTATATTATACTTCACCATGCTGGTTGGTGTGGGTTCATGAAGGCAAGAAGCATAGATGTGTCAGCATAGAAGTATATTATAACAACGTATTTTGCTTCACAGCCCTCTGCTGCACACCAAATAGCTACGTAAGCCCCATAGCAGCTCATTTGTGCACGGTGGTCACCCATTCAAGCATGATTCAGGCTCAACCTTGAGATCTGATGACATCGGGTATATTCCAGTTGATTTGGTCATAGACACCACTGCTATTACAGATCCTAAATGTTGAATTTAAAATCTGAAATATGAATTATTTTTCTGAATAGCATTTTTAGTCAGTCAAGCCTAGAATTTCTGATATTCTCTAAAGCTAGCATGTTTCGCATCACCAAATGATTTCCAAGATTGATTAAAGGTAACTAACACAAATAATGTAAGAAAATAATTAACATGAACAGAATACGGTCTTGTAAATTCCAACACTGTCAAAGATTACACACTTTTAATTTAAAGGAAAATGTTCCATTCTCTCTCCAGCTATGAGTCTTGTATGAGTCAAAAATCTAAAAAAATAAACGAATTAATGGGTCATATATCACTTTACAGTATATTCTTTTGTGCAATTCCATATACAAAATTAGGATTTTCCACTTTAATTGCTGCATTTTAAGGTATAAAATGTAACATTTATTGAGTCTTCCCTACTTTCCCAAGTTTGCTTAGCCATTTATTTCCATATGTATGGCGTTGCCAGGTCAGCTAATGCCTCCTCCTTATGCAGAATAAAAATAAGAACAATGGTATGTTATTGTTTATTATGACAAATAATGTACTTGCCTTGCTGACGTTTCACACGTTTGAGCAATCAAGTAGAAGAGGACCCCAAGGATTTACATGATAAATACATCATAGCAACCACATGAGACATTTAAAGAATTGCAGCTTATGTCCTGCTATAATTTGACCATTACTTCATTTATTCATTCGATAGTACTCTCACTTTTGTCTATTACATACATAATGAGAATAATAAGAATATATTTTATTTGCGTACAATTGAAAAAAGCATGCATTTTCTCTCTGTTTATTTTATAAACGCCATTCTATCATGCATTCCAAACTGAATGCTAGTATTAATAGGTGCACCTATCCCTTTTGAACTTCCAACAGTGTTTGCTTTAATACAATGGAAAGTTCGAATCTCAAACTTTACAGATGCTTTTGTAAAATATGAGATGTTAGGCACGGTTACTCTGTGTTATTTAAAACAACATTGTGCCTTCCAAACCCACGCTAATATTTACCAGTATTTTTCCACAACGCATATGCTTTAAGCGGAGCAAGAAAACAGCAATCTCAGCTGCATTTTGTCCAACCATTCACCCACACTTCCGAAGTCAAAACCCATGTCCTGACTTGGGTTTTGCACAATTCAATGATTGTCATCAATGAGACTTCCTTGATCCTCCCGACATTTGCCCGCATTTTACGGAATAATAACGGCTACGTTCCGAGCGTGCAAGGTGAATACTGCGTGGGAATATCAAGTGGGTATACTAAAGCATGCTTTTTAAACCACAAGTGAGGCGTGCAATATGGATGTTTTGCTTGAGTGAATGGTGGTGATGATTGTTGTGATTGTGATTATGGAAGGAGGGGGGGAAGTACCGTAAAAAAATCACAAAATACCTCAGTATCGTACCACGTGACATTGAGGTGGTGTCGCTTCAGGAGGGTATCGTCCTTGTTGACGTGATCAACGGCCATGGCAACAGCGGGCATTATGCCTCGACCGATTCCACCTCCCGCCCGGCTCTCGTTGAGCGGCATGAGTCCCATGACCAGGAGCTCCGAGCCGGAGGCGCCGCCGCTCCGGAAAATCAGCACTACGGACAGCGGCAGCCACAGCCAGAGCCGGAGTCGAGCTCGCACATCCATGCTGCACGGGGGCGCCGAGGGAAGGCGAAGGGAAACACGACGAGCAGGAGTGGGAGCTGCTTGGGGGTGCTCCGAAGCTGGTGGCGACCGTGGCTAGCTGCCACCTCTGCTGCTGGCACGACGCATGGTCGCAGAGGCTGGCGATCCCGGCCGCATGAGGGTGGTGGTGGTGGTGAGGGAGGCTGCAGATTGCCTTGGGCACAAGAGAGCCCTGAACGGTCGTCAGCTCTCGTGGAGTTAGTTACCTTTTTTGTGTCTGAGCGCTAAAAAAGCGTGGTCCCTGGCATGACAACATATGTGCAGTTGGAGTGCCTCCGAGGCTTTGGTCGGCGAGCGCTGGCGAGGCTCGGGGTAAATTAGACACAAAGAGAAGCAACCCCCTTGCTATGTACCCGTGTACCCCGTCTCCCCCCCTCTCTCCCAGCGCCTGGTGAGCGCAGGGTGACCGAGTCAAAATCGCGCATAAACGGCTGCTGCTTCACTCAGACGCCACCCTTCAGCACGCACAACTTAACTGAATCATCCTTTTCACGACGAACGAAAAAAACATACACACATGTGCGAAAACGTGTAAAAATATCGAGAATGCGCTCGAAACATAATTAGAAGCGTCTATAACGTGAGAGTCATTTAACCGAGCGACGCCGTATATTATCTACGTGTGTATTACATGGTGAGTTTACAGGCGAGCGTATGTGTGCGCAAACTGGCGTCCTACTGTAGCGTACGCATGAAACTGGAACGTGACTTCAGTGAGAGTTCATTATTTAGTGCAGACACGCGCAGACTTCATCACGCAGCTATCCGAAGCTGTAGTAGCCCTCATTAGATATCTCATTAGATAGCCTTCACAGCGCGTCGGAGCGCCTGCTCATGCAACGCTCCCCCCGCCCTACCACACGTGATGCATGGACAGACGTGGTGGGTTTGGTATGAGGAACGGGGCTGTCTGTCTGCGAGCTCTTCTTGAAGAGCCCTCGTAAGCCACCGCGAGTCAGTCCCCCGCGCGTCCAGCGCGCGACTCACTTGATGACCATCCTCCGCTATCGCTGAGACGCGAGACCGCGTGCTGTGCTATAACCCGCATAACAAAAAGAAATGCCTCGCTCTCTGCTGGAATAAATTAATACACAAAGCGGTCGACCGGGAAACTACGTTTATCAGGTGTCATAAACCCATCAGAGACCCAGCGCATCCCAGCATATGTGATCTGCGCACACCTGCATTATTCCCTACCCTCCCTCCACCACGCTCTGTGTTTGTGCTCGGGGTGCGCTGTGTGTGACGCGACATGCCATGCATGCGCCGATGCGTGACCGAGATCATTCTCTTCCTTCTTCCCTATATCGCACCACCGCTCCTTTTTTGGAGAGAGGGGGTGTGGGGAATTGTGACATTAAAACTGCAGCCCGTTCTTGAACGGAGGGAACCCCAAAGACAAGGCGCCTGAGTGACCGAATTCGTCACAGGCATGCACGTGCAAAGCAGTTTAAAGGTTGTGCGTGAACGCGTTTAAAAATTGGCACCGATGTAAACACAGGACCTCCGTTGGCTTACGCGTTTTAAAACAGCAATGCTGCGACGTTATTTTCCAACGTCTTACGTATAGGACGAGCACAGTATGGCCGCATTCATATTCGTCCCATGCAAGGAAATCGCATTATGCAAATATAAAATTATCACACGCGGCGACGCAATTAAAAAAAACAGCCCTGATGCCCTTTTCAAGTCGTTTTATTTTTGTCTCGCGCTGATTTTTCCCCCATTAACTTTCGATTCCATGGTAGTGCCCTGCAATGATTAGTACAGTGCAAGGTACACATGACAGTACGTTATTAATTGCGTTATTATAATGCCACTTGCAATGCTCTAATTCCCCTGGCACGTATCCATACAACAATCACCAATTAGCCAGCATTCCGAATTGAGATTAATACTATCAGCTTTTTGGGTGGCTTGCCGCTTTTACGCATGTATATACCCCTATGATGGTTAAGACATGCTTGCTAACCACAACCATCAGTGGTTATAAAAAATGTGTACGCATCTCGCGAGTGATTGTTCTTTTCTTCAGGTGAGGGGTAAACATTGATTGTAAAGAGCAATTACGGAGACAGGGGTGGTTTCTCTCTGACGGAGGATATAGATAAGGTGAGCTAATGTTGCACAAAAACACCCAACATATGTTGTTATTTGTGTTTGTGCAGCAATGCTAACGCAAAACATCAACTAATGTGTTACATGCTGTACATTACTATTCAATTCATTTAATTGCGTCTAATCAAAAGCAGTAAATGTGTAACCATTTCATTATTTAAGAACATCAAAGCTAATGTTATACTAATTTATGTATATTCTTGGTTCTTTCGGTAAAGTCACGTAGAAGGGAAACAATAAAATAATAAAAAATATTGTTTTATATTTGTATTGTTTTATTGCTTCCCTTCTACGTGACTTTACCGAAAGAACCAAGAATATGAATCCCTGCAGTCACGACAGCTTTAAATCACTAGTGTATGTGTTAAATAGTATTATTATAAAGTACTGCATTATTCACCATGATCATCAGAAGCCATTGCCTATTGACTGCTGGATGAAGGCCTCTCACACCGTCGCCATCTCACACGGTAGTCAAGTGCTGTTACCACCTCTAGTGTAGAATGCATTACTGCCATGGTTTTGCAACTGGCTGTCTGATATCGTGAATATGTACAGTACATGTTCGCTTGCATTTGTTTTCATTGTTACGGTCATGTGCGTTACAGATTTGGATTTTTTTTTGCAATGGCATTGATGCGCTCGAAACGTTGTGCCAAGTTGTCCAGCGGTTCTGCAGTCATAAAAACGTGGACATATACTCTGGCAGCCTTGGAACACTCAACGTGAATTCCTTAAGTTCTCTTTGGCGCTGAAGGAATTTACTACAATAGCACCGCCTGTAGCATAAATGCGAGAGCATACCAGCAACGGTTTAACGCCTCCCCTTTATCCTATGATCGTAAAAGTGGCCATATGTTTTAGTGATTATTTTCTTCTTATTATTGTAAAGCTGTTTTACCGGGTATAAATGCGCTGGTATGCCGGTGCTAGGTGAATTACATCGCAGGATAGTGATGGATGGTGACAGTTTGGGAAGGGCTTCATTCAGCAGTGGATTGATCATGGCTGATTATTATAATAACCTGGTAAGCCCACGTCCGCCTAATTCAGCACCGGGCTGCACGAACAAACGCAAAATATGTGGGAAATCATGCAGTCTATTAAGCGAACTCGTGGATGTTGGTCTTAGACATCAAGGTCTTGAAACCGAGGACATGTGTTTCGCTATGCGAATAGCGAAACAGATGTCCTCGGTTTCGCTGTGCCGCTCCACCAATGAGCCCTCTGTATTCCAGCAGGATGGTCTATATCTGTATGTGCGTGTGTACTTGGGGAATGGCGTAGGTTTCGCCTCGTCATGGCGTTTGACATTTGCACACTCGCACACACCATTTCGTATCGTGCACCCCTATCCCCCTGCCACCACACCACCACCACACCACCTCTCACCCATCAACCTCACCACCAACCCAGCAGCGTGACCTTGTTTAAGACAGGGGCATACAACAATTAAACTGGGAGTGGGACGACGACGACGACGATCGGCAATATTAAACAAACTTCAACCAATCGTTAAACACTTTTGTCCAATATGCATACTGCCTTTTGGTCAACCCTCCATGTGGAGTATTTGAGGAAAGGCTGCACAACCCATCACTTAATTGGCTGTAACAATTTTGGAGGGGAGCCGAGCCTTCAGCAGGGGGGCTTCGCTTCCTCCAGCCCCTCCCTCCCCCCGACGCCACGTGGTTGCTCTTCACTCTACCCCTGAATCTCCGACATAAGTCCAGCGAATCCACACAATCTTCTTTGTGATCAGTGCTACATCTAAGCTGAAACAGTCCAGAACGCTGTTCTGGGAATTATATCGGCACGTGTCCATGCATCTACATATTTATAAACCTGTTCATAGGATTATATAAATGCAGGGTACATTAATATAATTATTATGGATAGGTGTACTCTCGTGGTAGTGCAGGGGGATAGGGGTGCCTCGCGCCGAGAATCCCAAGCCAGCCGAGCCGCGTTCTGGGAAATGTCAAGTTAGAAATTAAACCCTGCTTGTGATCATTCTAGCAACTTCCATCCCCCGTGACCACCAACAGCATCTTCCCTCATTACTCCCGAAGACCCGACCCCTCTTTAAAATAGGCTGCAAATGAGCGGCCGCCGATCTGCGCCCACATACGCGTGGACCTGCCGCAGGGCAGTGAACAAGATATTGCACCGCACATACACACGAACAACTAAATAAATTACGCGTTCATAGCCGCGAGCACCACACACGGTGGCGGCCTATTCAGTCTAAATAAAAGCGTCCGAAACAATTGGCTAGACCGCTCGGGAAAGATCAATGTATATATAGTGACGGCCAAGGAGGCTTGACTCGACCTTCTCGTCCAGACGGAGCGAGAGCGCCATGTGGTGGCTGCATACGGAGTCGCAGATCAAACCACCACGTGAACTCGGGTCAACCAAAGAGTACGGATCCTTGCAGTCACGAAAGCTTCAAATCTAGAATCGGGTCATCCTCGCAAGCTGCGGATGTTGGCTCGCCATCGAACAAAAGACGGTCAACCGCAGCGCGCGCTGACAGATGCGCTTCTTCGGCCGTCTGGAACGCTCTTCCTTGCGATATCAGCCACTGGAGCTGCGCACTTTTAAACCGAGATTGTAAAATTAAATTCCTCCGATGAGCAAGGTTGGCTAAGTACGGTGCAAAAGAAGTTCAATATACAGTACATACATATCCCAGTATACCGCGAGCGGTCTAACGAAAACACGATGCATCATCCTGCTTTTATCAATCTCGATTATTAAACTCGCGATGCATAACACTGAATTTGCATACGTAAGGACCGCTACCTTGTTCGATTCGTCTGTGTTGCATATGTTTACTGTAGATGTATTTACGTTACCCCTTTGCCCATTAGAGGCGACAATATTAACCACAATGGTAAAAAAATGATTGTTGAATCAAATTGATTGATAATTGATCAAACCGTAGTTGGAGTTGGTTGGGGTAGTACTTTAAGGGTGTTGGGGGGGGGAGTCCACCTCTCACTTCCATAGCTGTCAACCCCTTATCAGTGCGTACCTTATTACAGACAAATTCAGACCTTATTGGTCACGCCGTGCCTTTATAAATCTCAACCTTCTTCCTACAAAGTCTCATCATCACAAGGGAGAAACACAAACAAATAGACAAACGCTTTTTGTTGTTGCCCGCATTGAAACGGCTGTACGTCGTACGGATCTGAAAGCTCAATTTCCTTGTACAAGAATACGGGTTAAGCGTATGGGTCGACAGCTAAGAATGTCACACTAGTCATAATGAGTCGCCTCCCTCACCATTGCATTCATCGTCGTGAACATCATCGCGACTTGATTCAGCATAAGATTCCCGTATTTTTTCAAAGTAGCGGCCTCTACCGGCAGTGACACCTTGAAACCGTTAACAGAATAAACGAATCGGGAAAACAGAATAAACGAATCGGGAAAACATCACGCGCTGGCATGCGTATTGAGCTTAAGAATCGATCTATGCTAATCGTGTTATGTATTACATCACAGGCATATGCTGTTAACTGCATTTTAATATGGAGTGTACAGTCGAGTATTTATAATTGACTCGTTAAGACTGCGACGATCATGCCTAGTAGCATTTGAATATTTTGATGTTTTTTTTTCCTGGATTTTCTGTTTGCACAGTCACATAGTCACTTTAAGATGTTTTCTTGTTCATGTTTTTGTTTGTTGCGGTTGCACTCGATTCAAGAGCCGAATGGCTCACAGGGCTATACCTAATAGATTGGAACTGAACTGATCAGCCATGTGCAGAGAGGAGCCCTGGTGTCTCGGCGCATGGGTTGCTCCCGCCATCTAGTGTAAAAATCAGGAACAGTTACCTCACCAGGTTTTTAGTTGTGAGAGGTCAAGGATTATGCGAATTCAATTTTATTTTATTTGTTACACGGATGATACCATTTCGCCAGTTGTCCGGCTATCTTACGAGAGAGATCCGTTGTGCATAAGGACACAGCAACGACGATTCACGTCATGGAGTGGAATTATTTTCAACTTAGGATGTAAAATTTCGATTTAAAGCTTTCGTGACTGCAAGGATCTATCTTCTTTGGTTCTTTCGGTAAAGTCACGTAGAATGAGAATAAAATAATAAATTGATAAAATAAAATAACACAATAATATTCTCACGACGTTTCGGCCTGATGAAGGCCGCTTGTGTTGTGGCCGAAACGCCATCAGAACTTAGGTTCTGATGGACATGTCCTTAGCCAACCGTACTAATCGAAGGTGCGGTTGAGAAGGGTGGACACAAGACCAATACTTTTATCGCATATTTAAAAAAGACGTAAAAAAAGGAATCCATAATACTTTGAGACAAACATTTAACATAAAGCGTATCTATACGAGAGAGAGCACATCAAACACTCCGGCTTGCACACTCCGTTGCGTGTCCCCACAGAATGGCAGTGATTCAA